CCCCACCTTTGTGCGGTACCCTGTGAGCCGGGTCGATCTGTAGTCTGATGGTCCCAGGGCCCGAAGCTGGCCGAGCGCGCCCGGTGCGAAAAGTTGCAACACCCAGATCTCAGGGTCTGGCGTCTTCTCCACACCTGCCGCTGGGGAAGCTGAGCATCGTTTGTCCAACCCCCATCCCCAGCGGCGTGGCCTGGGCCCCACTGGCCGATTTACCCCCCTAGATGGGGATATAGGCCGTTCCCTTCGGGTTTCGAGGGCTGTATCCCCAGCTGGGGTGGTAATTTGGTGGGGGTCTCGAAGGGGATGAGGATGGGAATGGGGGTCGGTTAAACGATACTGAGAAGCTGCGCCCCCAGGCGATCCAGAAAAGATGCGTTGGCGCAGGCACGCTGCTGCAGCGACCCCGCTGCACTGACTGGCCGCTCTGGTCCCGCTCACCACGGAATTCTTCCGCGTCTGAGCGCCTCCTTCCTTCTCCCCCCTCTCGGCCGCCCTCTTCTCCTCCACGTTCTCTTCTTGCACGCCAGTTAGCCCGACGCTGGTGCGGATCGCCTCCGCCTCGCCGCCGACGGAACAAAGTTGGCGCTGGCGCACGCTTGCCAAGGAGCGCCCTGGAGTGCGGTGAGCTGACGGCCGCCAGGGGCTCAAATGTCCGTAGCGGAAGTCGCGGAGGTACGGCAGACTCGCGTCGTGACACCTTCGGTGTGGGTTTCTGATGCCGCTTCAGTGGGTGGACGAAAAATCGCAAGTTATCTGAGCATTATGAGAAACAGCGTGCCAATTTGGATCAGATTCCATCGATCTCAGATGCACTCCCCCCGCACACGTTTTAATGTTGACTTACATTATCTTGTTCACCCAGACTTGGAGCGCTCGCTTCAAACCAACATTTGAAACGCAGGGGGCGGGGGTTGTGCGACCGGGTGGCGTCGCAGTGTAGGTAGGTGTAGCCGCACGCGGTCAGGAACAACTTGCAAAATTTCGTCTTCCCATCGCTGGACCGTTCAGTCTTCAAAGATCGGCGATGTTTCGACCCCTGGATCGTTCCATGTTGGTCGACTCTGGGCAACCGGCGGTGTTCAGCCCGGCGCTGTGGTCGCAGCCGCGTCGACACGGCATGAACCTACCGTACCCTGGCGTCGCATTTGTTTCACGCTGGCTGCCCTCGTCCAGATTCGGGCGACCGTGACCCTTACGGATCGAACCGACTCAAGACGCGGCGAAGGTTGGGGTCCAGGGTCCAGGACGTGACCTTTCACGACTGTGCGCTGTGTTCGCCACGTCGGACCTCAGGGAGAGCCTGATTATACTGGGATATCGTTCGACCCCGCCGACTTGGGCGGGATGGATGGATGAACAGCGCCTTGAAAGGTTCATCCATCCATCCCGCCCAAGTCGGCGGGGAGGGCGCCAGTAACACTGAGCAGCGCAGGAGGAGGAAGAGAACGAGAGGAGAGAGGGACGCCAAAGCCGAGCTTGCGGCAGAAACAAAAAAAACGGCGCAGGCAGGAACTCTCGGAGGTGCGTGCGGCTGTCTCGGGGACGCGCAAACATGGATTAGCGATCCATGGATTTGGCGCGCGGTCGCCACATGTTGGGCATGTCCCCCTACAGGTAGATTTTGGACGAAAAACAGAACATAGTCAAAAAATATCCCCAAATGGTCAAACATAGTCGACAAATCGTCCCCAGACTATTGTACTTTTGGACACTCCTCTTTAGGGGGACGTGCCCGACTTCGAGGTGCGCGCGGCTCTCTGCGGTCGGCGCTGGACTCCGCAGCCCCTTCGGCGCACGGGGCGCGCCAACGGGGCGGCGGCGCCGGCGGCGCGGCCGGCGCCGACCCGAGGAGCCCGCGCGGACCGCCCGAGAGCCTGCGCTTCTGCTGCGCTGCGTGCCTCGACACTGTGGCGCCGTGTGCGCCAGGCCGCGAGGGGGCTCCGGTCGGCATCGGCGGAGGTCGACGAGGTCCGGCGGCGAGCGAGGGGGGGCGAGGAGAAGAATCAGAAGAAAAATAACCATACGAAAAATAAGGCCTTCTCGGAAGGCGGCGGAGCTTCTCAGAGGCCTCCGGCCTTCTGAGAGGCTTCTCGTGTCTTTGGGAAAGGCTTGGAACACTTCTCGGAAGGCCGGGGGACTGCCAAGCCTTCTGAGAAGGCCTTCTTTTCCTTACTTCCCTCCACGGGCTCGCCGCCGAGACGAGGTGCTTGCGCTGGTGTCGCTGACTTTCACGACGTGAGCACTGGGGGCCCCAGGGCCTCCCGACGCCGTCCCCAGGCCTGGCTTCCCCCAGAAGGTCGAAGGCCTTCATCCCAAAGGTCGAGCCTGCGTTTTGGAAGAGCACAGAAACGCCAGCAGAAAATGAACGACTCTGGCATGGAGGTCCAACCTTCCCTTGGGAGGTCGCTACTCGGCGCTCGTCGCAGATGATTAACTACCTCACGGTCCTGGTGCCCGAAGACGTCCCCCCAGGGGCACCTGTTTCATCCTGGGCTGTCCTTGTGGCCGCTGCGCGCCCCAGAAGGGCGGCCAGGGGCCGCACACTGCAGCGAAACTCCAGGACGCCTTGCCCCGCAATCATTAGCCAAAGCATCCTGCACGCCCGGGAGCCCCGACCCTCCCCGCCTTCCCCCGGATTGGTTAAAAAGGCAGCCACTCATGGACAGCCTGAAAATCCAGGAAAACACTGAATTGCATGAAAAATGTGAGAAAATCAGGTGCTGCGAAATCGGTGAAAAATCTGTTTCCGCTGTGTCACCATGCAGAAACCGCTCGCTGGATCAGCCGAGACACACCAGCACCTCTCCATACCACCTCCGTCTTAACGGACTGGACCCGTCCTGAGGCGCGCCACGGCCCGAATCGCGAGGCGGGCCCGGCCGTGGCGACGAGAGGCCTCCGGGAGGCCCCAGGCGAGGGCCCCGCCCAGAAGTCCTCTGGGCTCTCCCCACGGCAGGCTCGTCTTCACCCCGAGACGCGGCTTGCCGGTCCCGCGGCCTGGGAGAGGCCTGCTGGTCGCCCGGAGCTGCTGTGAAGAGCACTCGAAGTAGGTTCCCGACGCGCTGGGAACCCGGGCCCCTCCTCCGCGCCGAGGATCGGCCCGCCCGACTCGGAAACGGAAAAAACATGGGCACGGGGGCACAACCCTGGTCAAAATTAACAACTCCTCATCGGCGGCGTGGGAGGCCAAGGCAGCGATGGGTGGGCTGATTGAATTCCTGTATTGCTACGCTGTGTTCTTTTGTCTGGCTTCCCGGGGACATTCCGAACATGTGGCCGCCGTGTGTGCTTTTTCCCGCTGTTTCAGGCCTGGCCATGGGCCGATCGGGCGTTGCGCTGGAGCTCGTTTTTGTAGAAATGAGAACCATACTAAGAATTATAATGTCACCAATGGTAGTACACATAGGAACACGAATGAACATGATAGTACGAATATGAATACGAATCCAACTACTGATACTGGAACTAAGAACAAGTAGTGATACTCATTCCAATCAAAGTACGAGTGATATATCATCATTATTTCTTTCGAACATTAGTCTGTTTATGATAATCAATACAGTTACTACGATCATGGTTATGAGTATGATGATGATTGTATTTCGTCGAATGATTATAACAATTACTACTCTTCTGGTCGTTAGTAGTACTGTTATTACTAGCGCTACGATTACCCTTGTTTTTTAACTAGTACCATCATTATTGTTACTTTCATGTTCATTCGCGATCGCGCCCGGGACTGGCCCCGCCCGCCCCCCCCCCCCTCGGTGCCCCTGGCCCAAGGATGCCGCGGTGCCCCCAGCTTTTCGCTCAATTCTGGAGCCCGTGGGGCCCCCGGAGGCCGTGGGGGCCTCCTGAAGGATCCTGGGGGGCACCTTGGGCCAGGGGCACTTGCGGCAACACCCGACCACCCCCTGCCCAATTCACGATTCGCGCCGAGCCGCCCAGAAACTTGGGACGGCGCCCGCGCGGACCGCGACGCGACCAGCCCGGCCCCCTCCCCTCACCCACCCCCACCCCCATGGTCGCGCCCGTTATGGCCAGGGACTAAGAAGCCGTATCTTGCCTTGCCGTCGGCCTTCTTTGCGAGGCGGGGATTTATGCATATCCACCGCCTGGTAACTGACGCCCTGGTGCCCTGGTGGGTGGTTCTATATTTCGGCCCACGGGGGCCCGAATCTGTCCATATCCACCGCCTGTGGAGGTCCGCGTTGATCGACCCTCCAGGCGGTGGCTGGGTACAGTAGGGGCTCGACAACAAGAAACCTTCCACAAAAAAACCCAACCCTCAGCCTCCAGGACGTCCGTTGATTTTTGGTGTGGGAACGTCACGCTTTCCACCGCAAAACCATCGGAACCATCGAAACCCAGGGCACCCTGGAGGCAAGGAGGGTGCTTCAAGCCATGGGTCTCCACTGTATGCATCCTCGCCTCGAGCTCTTCCCCGCTCCTTCGGTGCCAATCTCGATCGTACCCCCACGGCAGGGCGGGCGGTGCAGCGGCGCCGGCGGGCACGGACGGGGCGGGCGGGGCTCCAGGTCGGGGAACCCCTGGTGGTTGCAGAACGCGTGCGTTAGGATCACCTTTGGCCGCCGTCCAGCGCGGTGAGGGACTGCCGCCTCCCCCTTTCGCTCCTCCTGCTGCTCCTCCTCCTCCTCCTCCTCCTCCTGCTCCTCCTCCTCCTCCTCCTCCTCCTCCTCCTCCTCCCTCCTCTCCTCCTCCTCCTCCTCCTCCTCCTCCTCCCTCCTCCTCCTCCTCCCCTTTCGCTCCTCCTCCTCCTCCTGCTCCTCCTCCTCCTCCTCCTCCCCTCCTCCTCCTCCTCCTCCCTCCTCCTCCCTTTCGCTCCTCCCTCCTCCTCCTCCTCCTCCTCCTCCTCCTCCTCCTCCTCCCCTTTCGCTGCTCCTCCTCCTCTTTCGCTCCTCCTCCTCCTCCTCCTCCTCCTCCTGCTCCTCATGCCTCTTCCTGCCTCCTCCTGCCTTCTACTCTCGTCCGTCCGCAAGATGCAAACCCACCCTCCATCGGATCGAAAACTTGAAATCGAATCGGCGGAAAACATCGGACAACTGGACTGGAAAGAACCCGAAACACGCTCAACAAATCGGATCAAAATAGGAAATTCAGAAACATTTCTGACCAGAACCGGTCCGCCGCACCGGAATCGAAATCGGAATCGAACGCGGTCTCCCAGCACGCCTCAGAACCACCCAGGATCTCCCTCTCGTCGTCGTCGTCGTCGTCGTCGTCGTCGTCGTCGTCGTCGTCGTCGTCGTCGTCGTCGTCGTCGTCGTCGGCGTGCCCCCCAACCCGACCCGGCAAAAGCTCCCTCCGGGCAGGGGGCTCCCCTCCCGGCAGCGGGCCCCCTCCCGGCAGGGGGCCCCCCTCCCCGCAGGGGGGGCCCGCTCCCAGAGGAGCGCGCGGCAGCGCACGGCGGTTTACCTCCCCTGGCCTCTCCTCCCTCAGCCGTCTCTCACCTTCTCCCTCCACCAGCTTCTCGGCCCTTTCTACTACCTCCTCCTCCTCCTCCTCCTCCTCCTCCTCCTCCTCCTCCTCCTCCTCCTCCAGCTTCTCCTCCAACTTCTCCTCATTCTCCTCCTCCTCCTCGTCCTCCTCCTCCCTCTCTTCCTCTTGTTTCACCCTGCCTCTCCCGTCCTACCTTCCTTGAGTTCCGCACGAAGCATCGGAATCCGAACCAGAATCGATGGGAGTCGAGAACGCCGGATCGGAACCAAAATCGGTATCCGCACATCGGACCAGAATCGAAATCAGAAAGCATACATGGCATCGGCCCAGAACCACCAGAACCAGAATCGGTAGGGGCGCATCGGACTCGGATCGGATCCGAACCTGGCCTGAGATGTCCCGCCCTCTTCGCGTATTTCTAACACACAGGATTGGATTGGTGTGTGTGTTCTTATGCTTTGTCTTGCAGTCCGATGATTTTCGATATGTCAAGATGGTGTTCCCGCTGCAGCGTGGGCCTCCTTTTCAGATCGGCGCTTTGCTCACCCGAGCGTAGGCCATTTTTCTGCATCTGAATCCTTCCCCATCGTTGTCGCCCCCCTCCTTTCTCCTCCAATTCCCCTAGTTCTCCTGCTCCTCCCGCTCTTTCCACTCCAATTCCCACTGCTGCTTTTCAGCCTCGTAGTTCCTCCTCCTCCTCGTCCTCCTCCTCCTCCTCCTCCTCCCTCATCCTCCTCCCTCATCCTCCTCCCTTTCCTCTTGCTCAGCTCCCCCTTTCGGATTACCCGTAACATGATAGGGTCGTTGGGGGAATTCCAGGTCCGCACGCGTCTGCGGATATGAAAAAGTCAGCGCAATAACGCAATGAGAAGGGATGGGCGCGAAGGATGATATCAGACATGGCGCGAGCGCACCTACCGTATCTCATCCCCCCCTTTCCTCCTTCTCCTCCTCCTCCTCCTCCTCCTCCTCCTCCTCTAATTCCTCCTCCTCCTCCTCCTCCTCATCCTCCTCCTCCTCCTCCCATTCCTCGATCCTCCCCAGGTCCTCAGCCCTCCTCAGTCCTCCTCCTCCTCCTCCTCATCCTCCTCCTCCCTGCTGTCCTCCCTCCCTCCGACCTCCACCTCCCGAGAAGATCGATGACCTCCCAAAACGGAACCCGACTTCCACCCTGGAGGCCTCTCTTTCTCCCATCCCGGAGGTCTCCCTACTTCTAGAACGGAGGCGCGGCCTCCGTAGTCGGGGAGCTCGACAGCTCCGAGTCCCTGCCTCCCTCCTTTCGGGGCGGACGGAGAGGGGGGATGTGAAGGAGCCCAGGGACACGCCAACCCAGATGGCACAGATCCCAGGATTCCCCAGCTGTTCCACATTTGATGGGTGCTCGTCTCCGCATCCACTTCCCATCTTTCCCATATCTCCCTGGGCACCGACGATTATGTGTGCCTGTGTGATTTTTTCCTGAGGATAGCAAAGAGGGGGTTAGCAGATGCGCCACCATATCGAGGAAAGCGGCCGACGGTGGGACCGAAACCAGCTGCGTGAAGCAAATTTTGTAACCCCTCCCTTTCCCAGTCCCCATTTCGTCCCCTCCCACCCCCCAGCCGGCAGAGAGGTGAGGCGGCGGCGCAGGGCGGACCGCCAGCGTGGAGCCGGTGCGGAGCAGCAGGAAGTTGCAGAACATGCCGAACAGCCAGGTGTAGCACACCTTGGCGAAGGGAGGGAGGCACGGCATGACCGGCCCCATCCGCCTGTTGTCCCCGCAGACACTGCAGCAGCACTCCGCCGAAATGCGCTGGACAGTCGAAATCTCGGCGGAAGTGGCAAGGGCGCTGTGCGGCGGTCCCCTGAAGCCTAACCGAGCCCTGCCGTGACGAGCCCCTGCCGTGCCGAGCCCCAGCCTCCAGGCTCCCCTCGGGACGCCTGCTCACGTCTTGGAGCGACGTGGAGGGAGGCGTCATGGAAGGGGTCGGTGTGCTGTGGGGTCGATCTGGCCGCCCCTGATCCCCAAACGACAACCATGGAGAGACAAACGCGAAGGCACAACGCAATCCGCATGAACCGTGCAGTCGGGAAGCAGCGACACACGTGGGACGCAGAATGCACAGGAAGAGGGGAAGAGAGGTAGAGAAGGGAACACGCGTAGTAGAGTGGCCGACCGTGTTCAATAAGAAAAAGTACCAACAGAAAGTCGCCAGAAAACACTCCAGGCAACCAGGACAGCCACTCAAAGATGGGGACAGCAAGCGTCCCAGCATGTCATCATGGCCGGCGCTCGGGCGGAGCACCGTTCCCAATCAGAGATGTGGCTGGCGCTCGAGCGGCAGCACCGTCCCCAATCCAATGTTCGGCAGGCGCCGTCAGAACAATATGCAACGGATAGAAAAAGAAAAACGCCATACATCCAAACTTGTATCGCTCCGCCCGGATTCCTTGGATCCGCGCTGGAACCCCCCCTCCCTGGCGCGCGGAGCGCGCCAGGGGCGGCGCTGGAAGCGCCGCCGGGGGGCCCCAGCGCAGATCCAAGAAACTCGCGCAGAGCGCCAAAAGTTTATGTTTATACCGTTTTTTCTTCTTCGAACGGAGCTTACCATTTTGAATCTCGGATTGTTCCAACGAGCCAGTCTCAGGGCTCTGCTGGCTGTGCCACTCTCCGAATCACGCTACCGTACTGCTGATGCGCGGGGGGGCGCTCCTCGGGGCCTCCGCACAGCCTCTGGAGATGACTCGATGACCCTCGGAGCGTGTTGGCGCCAACGTGTGTTCGTCCACCGAAGCCCTTCCCTTCACTATGGCTCGGGCGATGCAGTGAGGGCCGACACTGACTGCGTGCTGCAGGTGGGGCTGAGCAGGGTAGTTCCAGGAGGAGAAGAAAACGGCATGAACATAAACTGTTGGCGCTCCGCGCGGATTCCTTGGGTCTGTGCTGGACCACCCTCCCTGGCGCGCGGAGCGCGCCAGGGGGGGCGCTGGAGGCGCCGCCATGCGGGCCCAGCGCGGATCCAAGAGATCCACGCAGAACCTCGAAAGTTTATGCTTATGCGGTGTTGTCTTCTTACAGATTGTGCTAACAAACGTCCTGAAGATCGAACCCTGTGCGGGCCTCATGGGACTGCTGCGGTCCTCTGGGAAACACCTCCTTCACCTCGAGGAGGGCAGGACTCCCACCGCTGTACCGTCGCGGCTGCGGTCTGGCAGCCCCCCCCCCTCGGGAGGAGGGTTGATTGATTGAGCGCCCCCCAGTGCGGTCTTCGATGATGCCATGGGAGCTGAACGCCTGCTGCTCCAGAATGCGACCTCTCGAGCCGAGGAGAGACAGACCACAGTCTTGGGAGAGGGGCAGGGCGGGGGAGAGGAGGATGGGGGAGGAGGAGGAGGAGGAGGAGGAGGAGGAGGAGGAGGAGGAGGAGGAAGAAGAGGAGGAGAGGAGGAGGAGGAGAAGGAGGAAGAGAAAGAGGAGGAGGAGAAAGGGAGGAGGAGGAGGATCGAGGAGGATAAAGGAGGAGGAGGAGGAGAAGGAGGGGGAGGAGGATGGGGGAGGAGGAGGAGGAGGAGGAGGAGGAGGAGGAGGAGGAGGAAGAGGAGGAGGAGGAGGAGGTGGAGGAGGAGGAGGAGGATGGGGGAGGAGGTCGAGGAGGAGGAGGAGGAGGCGGATGAGAACAAGGAGGATGAGAACGAGGAAGAGGAGGAGGAGGAGGAGGAGGAGGAGGAGGACGAGGAGGAGGAAGAGGGCGGGAGGAAAAAGGCGAGGACCCAGAGGACCGAACGTCGCCAGAGTTGAGGCCCAAACTCCAACTCTGGATGCCCTCTTTCCCCCTCTATCCGATATCCTGGATGCTTCTGTCTCTCCAAGATGGGGTCTCGACCTCCACAACGGATTTCCTTGATCCTCCAGGGACGGACTCCCGCTTGGCACGCCCGAAATGCGTACAGAAAAATGGGTACGATGCCCAACTGCACATGTTGCCCCAAACTGGCAGCGGCCCTTGTTGCGCAGGCGACCTGTTATCTCGAAAGGACAACAACCGCGGCGGCGCCGACAACGAGTCCTACTCCAAAAGGGCAGGATTTGTTGTTGGCCTTTGTCCGCATTCTTTCCGTACCAATTTCGATCGTCGTGGCATACAGCGACCCGCCGCGGCCCAAGCCCCCTCTGGCTGGCTCATCACCCGCGCGAGGCGGCGCTCGCGCCTGGAAGGCGGTGGTCTGGGCGGCGGTCGCCTTGTCCTGGCCCCTCCGCACCTGCAAGCGACTGCGCCCGCCTCCGCTTCGCCGCCGCCTCCGCTTCATCGCTTCGCTGCTTCGCCGCTTCGCCGCTTCGCCACCTCGCCGCTTCGCCGCCGTCGCCTTCGCCTTCGCCGCCGCCGCCGTCACCTTCACCGCCGCCGCCGCCGCCGTCGTCATCGTCGTCGTCGTCGTCGTCGTCGTCGTCGTCGTCGCCGTCGTCGTCGTCGTCGTCGTCGTCGTCGTCGTCGTCGTCGTCGTCGTCGTCGTCGTCCTCCCCGCAGCGCTGTGCCCGCGTCGGCGCCACACGCCGTCGTGTCCGCTGCGCCCCGCGCGACCCCCACCGCGTGGTCGTGGCCGTCGTCCTCCGCCCGCCAGGCCCGACCCAGGGCCGGCCCGCCAGACCCGCCCGCTCGGGCCCGCCGCCCGATTCGCCTGCGAAGTCCCGCGCGCCGGACACGAGCTGCTCGTGCCAGAGCCGCGATCCGACTCGTCTGCGAATCCACACTTGGATGTCCCGCCCGCCCCGGCCCGCCCGTCAACGCCCGCCAGCCCGACCCGGCAGCCAAGGCCCAAGGCCGCCACCCCAACCCGCCCTCTGCGGCCCGTCCGCCCGGCCCGGCCCGTCCTGGCCGCCCGAGGACTGGCTCCTCCCCTGGCCGTTCACACTTGGATGTCCCGCCCGCCCGCCCCACCCGCCTGCTGAGGCCCGCCAGGTGGCCCGACCCGTCCGTTCAGGCCCGCCCGCCCGACCCTCCCGTCGGGGTCCGCCCGCCCGGCCCGCCTCGACCGCCCGGGGGGCGCGGCCCTTCTGCAAGGGATCCGCGCCTTCACGCCACGCCCGCACGACCCGACCCGGCCGTCAGGGCCCGCCCACCAGGCCCGTGCGTCGGGGCCCGCCCGCCCCGACCGCCCAAGCCGTCGGGGCCGCGGCCCCGACACCCATCAGGGTCCGCCCGCCTGGCCCGCCAGTTTAGGTCCGCCCGCCCGACGCAAGCCGATCCACCCGAGGTATGACACTACTCGCTCGTGGATCCACACCACCAGGCCCCGAGGCTTGCCCCTGATCTACCCGGCGGCTGCTTCACCCCACGCGGGCCTCACGCGACAGCTCGGGGAAACTGCCACGACCCAGCAACGTCCCAGTCCCACCGAGCACACGGGCAGATAGCAACCATGAAACAAACTGCGGGCCGGCAGACTGGGCGCAGCGCCTGAACAACACCCCCCGCGGAGCTCAAGCCGAGCTTTTCGGCCCCCCGTGCCCATCCCCGGCCCAGCGCATCGCGACCTGCGGGCTCCGAGGACACGTCGGAGGTCATCAACTCGGGGGCGGACCTTGACACTGTCAACGACGCGTTGCAGGGCATTGCAGGTCAGGATCGGTGTCGGTGTGCGGTCGGCGGCCCCTCCGCACCTGCTCCATGAAGTGGTGCGCGTGCGCCAGCCCGAAGCAGAGCGGGCTGACGAGGATGATGGCGGCCCTGGGCTTGCCAGTGGGCTTGCGGCAGGGTGGAGGAGGGAACGGGGCGGGGGTGGGGGCGAGAATCTTGGCGACCCTGGGCTTCTGGGAGGGGGAGGAAGAGCAGGGGGAGAAGGGAAAGAGCTGCACGTGCTGTTCGATCCCTCATGTCGAGCCTCATGGCAAGAGGGAAGCGTTTGGCCCATTGTTCTCACTGGTGGATCCTCCCAAACCGGCGTTGCGAATCTCAATGTATTGAATGTATTGAAGACGGTCACCACTCTTCCCCGAGAAGGAAAGGCTGCAGGGGCGTATGTGGAGTGTATGTACTCTTGACTCGATTCGCGCACGCCACCATTCCCCCTGAGTGTGCCACTGATGGCTCCCGACCCTTGCGCATCCATGCCGACCCATGGGGGTGCCCCTTGTTAGGGGGCAGGGAAATGAGCGGATGAAGTCGCAAAAAGAGTGGATGAGGCGTCTGTAAGTTATGCATAATCGTAAATTCGGCTGGCGTCCAACCGGTTGGATCATCCTTCTCCCCTTCTGCATCGGGCCTATCCCCAATTGACGGCCTAACAGGCGAAATTAGGGCGAATGCGGCGTGGTCAGGTGTGATGCGGCACCCTCGCACCCGAGGTTGGAGCACGAATCCTTGGCGTTCCCCAATGCTGCTCTCTTGGGAAAGTTGCCACACATCTCGGCTCCCCAGCTTGGCCATTGTTGAGATTTCTCGGCCTCGCTACAGCTTCGATTCGTTCATCCAGCGCGAGCTCTAGAGAGACCTTTATGGCTGACTCCTGGGTCTGCTCGGGCTGACCTCATCTTGGGCTCAACTGCTCTCCCCGCTCTTCGATTCACTCACTTTCCTCCACTGCTCACCAAATAACTTCTCGCCTTGAGATCCCTTCTGGATGGGCTGGTAGGGAAACGCGAATCTTGAACATTTTGGCAGCCACAGACGGAGTACGGCAGACGAGAGCGGTCGGTCGTAGATCATGTTTCCGATCTTGCCTCCTACGTACGGCATTCTTCGCACGCCAATGGTTTGATCATCCGATCTTCTGGCCATCTACGGTTGGTCTCTGGGATGGGTCTTGAGTCCCAGCGGCGTGGCAGTACGATCGACTCTGATCTTCGATCAGATGTCAAAATATTATAGTATCGAGTGCAGTAGGATTCGTCGAGTCAGGATTCGTCACACGAGTACGCAGTCGACCAGGGTCACCCCTGGCAAAATCCGGGAGACAGAGAGAGAGAGAGAGAGACTGACGACTAACGACAGGCTCGGGAGAGCCGGCCTAGGAAAGTCGGCCCCCAGCCATAGCCTGACGAGGCAAGCGCGGAAGACGAACTCCTGGGCCAGGAGCGGGGGGGGCGGGGGGACAGGAAGGGAGCAGAGAGGAGGAGGAGGAGGAGGAGGAGGAGGAGGAGGAGGAGGAGGAGGAGGAGGAGGAGGAGGAGGAGGAGGAGAACGAGGAAGAAGAAGAGGAGGAGGAGGAGGAGAGGAGGAGGAGGAGGAGGAGGAGGGAGAGGAAAAGGAGAAGGGAGAGAGAAGGAGGAGGAGAACGACGAGAACGAGGAGGAGGAGGAGGAGGAGGAGGAGGAGGAGGAGGAGGAGGAAGTCAAGAGAATGCCGGTTTCAATCGCGCTCTCGTCTCGCCCCGTTCCACTCCTCTCCTTCCCCTCTTGTGAGAGGCCGCACTCGGGCTGCCTCTCTCGCCGCAGCCTGCTCCGCGCTCCGCTCGGGCTGGCGCCCCCCCCCTCAGCTCGGATCCCTCGGCCCCTCCGGCCCCTCCAGGGGGGCAGCACAACAGAAACGGCACGAACAACCTCTCGGGGGTCCCCGCGCGGAGTTCTTGGATCTGCACTGGAGCCTCATCACTGGCGCGCGGAGCGCGTCAGGGGGCCCAGCGCAGCTCCGAGAAAATCCGCGCGGAGCTCCTGAAGTTTGTGCCCGTGCCGTTTTTTCTGCCCCTCGACCTTCGACCCCTCGAGCCCCCGAGACTCCCGAGCCCCCCCAAGCCCCCCCGAGGCCCCCCCAAGCCCCCCCCCGAGCCCCCCCCCCGAGCCCTCGGTCCTGCCACAGAGCGCCCGCCCTGCTCCGTCCGCGCTCTCGCCGCCGCTCGACGCGCGCGCTCCACTACCGCTCGCAGAGCAAGTGCTCGCAAATAGCCAGGGTCCGCCATAGGGGGACCTGCGATACATTGCATCGATGCAGACACGTGTTTTTGCGGACGCTTGCGAGTAGTAGAACGCGCCCCGTGAGCCACCGCCGTCGCGCCGTGGGGGACTTGCGGTACATTGCATCGATGCAGACACGCTTTTTAAACGGACGTTTTTTTTACTCCGAAAAAGGTGGACACTGCCGGCTTCCCAACTGATGGGAAAGGGACTCCACCAAGCAGAACCTGTAGTGCAGCCGCGCCCCGTGAGCCACCGCCGTCGCAGGCACGGCGCCGCCGCCGTCAGAGCTGCTGCCAGGCAGCCGGAGGGAGACGGGTCCTGGATCCCGACGCCTTGGAGGGGCCGCGTCTGGGGGGGGGACTGGCTCGGGGGGGGGGGAAGCCGAGCACCCACCCGAGATCGGCGATACATCGCCAACAGATCAGCGAGAGGCCCCCGACAGCGAAGCCGCACGGGCCGGGCGAGGCAGACCATCGGGCCCCCGTCCGCGATGCATGGGGATCGGGGGTCGGTGCGTCCCCCCCCCCCGGAGCCCGAGCCGGAGGCCCCCTGCAGTAAGAGGCCACTCCACAAGAGACCTTCCACAAGAAGCCCAACCCTGAGACCCCAGGACGTCCATTGATTTGCGGTGTGGGAGCGTCACGCTTTCCATCGCAGAACCCAAGAAACCCAGGGCACCCTGGAGGCAAGCAGGGTGTTTCTTGGCAGGGGCCCCCACTGGAACATTGGCCCTGATGGGACCAGCCCTCGCTCTTCATCCTGGGCCGCCTTCTGACGGTCCTCGGGCCCGCGGAGGGCCCCAGGGAGGCCCAGAGCGGGGAGAAGCACCTCGGGGACAGCAAGGTACCGATGCCGCTGCTCCCTGGACCTCTCTCCAAGGGTGCTCTCTGACCAGAACTCCGGGGCGAACCCCGCCGTTCGGAGGCGACGATAGGGGCGAATAGCCCAGGGGCAGGCATTACACGTACTCGCCCGGGAGCCTGGTCGAAGACATAGATCATCGGCGCTCCTGGTCCTGGATACATGTATTGCACTCCCCTAGGCCATTCGCCCCTATCGTCGCCTCTGAGCCGTGGCGACGACGGAGAGGCAGCGGCATCGATGTCCCGTCCTCTCCTGGGCACCACGGCGAGCTGCCGCCCTCGCCGCCGCCACCGCCGCAGCAGCTGCCGCGGGCGGCCGCCGCTGCCGCGCCGACCGCCGCCGCCACGCGGCGCCGCCGCCGACCGCCGCCGGCCGCCGCCGCCGTCGCGCAGCTGCCGCTGGCGGCCGCCGCCAGCAGCTGCCGCGGGCGGCCGCCGCCGGCCGCGCGCAAGAGCGCCGCGTGCCGCGCTCCTCGGAGATGGGCGCCTCCGCGCGGAGGAGGCCGCTGCCGGCGGCTCCCCAGGGCAGGCGGGGGGGGGGGCCTTCGGCGGCCCTCGGCGGTGCTCTCGGCGGCGGCGCGCTCGGCGGCGCGCTCGGCGGCCCTCGCGCTCGGAGGTCTCTGGCGTGCTCTGGCGAGGCTCGAGGCGGCTGCCTGGCGGGAGTCGCCAGCGGTTCTCACTTCCGCGGTCCTCTCGGAGGGTGTTTTTCTTTGCAGATTCTGCGCTTCTCGGCGTGCGGTTCCCCGACCCTCCGATCTTCGCCTTGAATCTGCAGCACTGCGCGTCCCCTTCCTCCTTCTCTCCTGTACCATGACGTTTTGCACACGCCTTCAGCTCTATGGACCGTTCCTCGTTGCATTCTGCCTTATTTGTGGCATCCGTTCGCCTCATATCAAGGTCGCCGTGCGTAGTGGGTCAGTATCTGAGTCGTGGAGGTCTGGGAGGCGGCGGGTGCATGCAGTTCTGCTGTGTGGGATTGGAAAGACGGTGTCTTTGGATTGTCTGGCGGCATGCCTCGGCAGTCGGTGCCCTCATCGTTTTCTCACTGATTCACGCCAGTTTACATTTGCTCGGCCGCGAGGGGGTGCTCTCGTTTGCGGGTCGGCGCCGCCCGTAGTCAGTGGCTGTTATTACTTGCATCCTGAGATTGTTGCTACTGGGAGGAGAAATGTCATCAAACTCACGCTATGGAGGCTTAGCCCGCGTGCGGACAGTACAGAGGCACATCAGTTTCGTCCATTAAACTGAAGACCTTTTCCCAAGTATTATGTCAATGCTGCTTCCAAGTGGCGGCGCCGTGACGGTTCACAACGTACGTTACTTGACGCTGGCTTCTAAGAAACCGTTGTGCTATTTGCACTCTTCTCGGGGCTGGGCCGTGATTGTTACGTAGCACTCGCTCGATTCTGGGAAACTGCATTTGGCAGCCATAGTGTTTCGTGGAGATCGTCCTCTGGAGCGTCGACTCGCTGCCCCACGAGTTCAGGGTGCGCATAATCAGACCTCGTCTTGGCCACGAATGCCCAACTTCCCCTGGGCCAATCCCCCCCGTTCGGGGCCTCTGGCGTCCCCGTCCTGGAGGGGAACATGCTGGAGGGGGACCGGCTCAGGGGGGGGGGACTTTCGACCCGAAATCGGCGAAACATCACCGATCCCCGATGCCGAGGCCGCACGCTCCTGGGCGGGGTGGGCCCTGTCAGCGATGAGTGGGCGATTGGGGGTCGATGCATCCCCCCCTGGGCCAATCCTCCCCTGACCCTGCACCAGACCAGTCCCCCCCCCTCCCCGTCGGCGCCTCTCACGTCCCCCTCCCTCCCTCCCACCCCCCCTTCTGCCCCACTCAATCAGCCCCCGCACCTCCTCCTCTATCCCAGGCTTGCCTGGAGCTCGCGCTGGAGCTGCCTACAACACTGAAGTCCCCCACGGCCCCGCACCTCCTCCTCGAACCCAGGCTTGCGTTGAGCTCGCGCCAGAGCTGCCCACGGCGCAGACATCCTCCTCAGCCCCGCAGGGCCCCGACACCGCGGTTCGTTTCGCCCCGCCGCTGGGCGCTGGCCAGAGGGACGAGCAGGCCGGGGGCGTGTTCCCTCCCCTCCTTCCCTCCCCTCCCCTCCATCCCCTCCTTCCCTCCCCTCTTCCCTCCTCCTCCTCCCCTCCTCCTCCCCCCTCCCTCCAACCTCCCCTCCTCCCTCTCTTCCTCCCTCCTCCCCTCCCCTCCTCCCCCTCCCCTCCCCTCTCCCTTTTTACTCCCTCCCTCACCCTTCCCTCCCACTCTCCCTCCCTTCCCCCCCCTCCCCTCCACCTCCTCCTCCCCTCCCCCCCCGCTCCCCTCCCCCCCCCCCCCCCCCTCCCCCCCCCCCCTTCCCACCCCCCTCCCCCCTCCCCCCCTCCCCCCCCTCCCCCTCCCCAGCCCCCCAGCCCCTCCTTTTTTTCTCGCCTTCGGTGGTCTCGAATTTGCGGATGACATCGGGCTTGTCCACCAGGACTGGGATCCCGATCGCATCATCGGCAGGGCGAAAAAGCTGAGTACGAGGTGTGCGGATGTGTCGTAGGATAGCCTCACCGAGTTGTCGGGAAGGACTGGTTCGGGAAGCCGCACTCTGGAGCCGGAAGCTTCGGGATGGTCTGGTTCGGGAAACTCCATGTTACTGGGGTCGTCCCGTTCGGCTGGGCTTCAGAGTATTGGGTTGTCGTTGACCGGTTCTCCTCGCGGGCGGGATGGCTGGAAAAATATCAGATTATGTGTTTCCGGGCTGTGGTGTCGTGGGAGACCTTCTTTGGCGGGGGAAACGTGTTCCCCGTCCGGGATCACGATGTTCTTGACACGATGTGCATGGCAATGTTCTCCATCAGGATGTTTGGCGTACGTGGCCTTGCCGATGACGAGGTAATCACCAGACCAGCGACCGCCAAAATGGGGATGGCATCCCACGAACAAGCCTTTTCGCGTTGTCTCATTTAACTTCGCTGCTGATTTGTTGAGGTCGGGTGTTGAAACATTTCCAAAAGATGCGAGCACCAAGCGGGACATTGTGTCCCTTGAGGGATTCTCCGAATTGAACTTCGTGTGTTGTGTAGTCCTTGTGCGCTTCCCGTGTGGCTGCAACGCCAAGACATGTTCGAGTAGTGAAGCTGTGGCCACAACATCACGCCTGCAAAGCCTCCTTCCACCATTCATGACCAGGGCCAGAATTGTGGAGCACCGCACGGGTGCCCTGAATACCTGACTTGACAGCACGTTCGGCCATTCCGTTGGTTTGCGGCCGATGTGGCATGCTGGCGTCGTGCCGCCATCCCAAAAGACGGC